TATGTATTTGTTCACTTTTAGAATGCATGAAAAAATTGAGAAATTCAAGAAACTGTCTAATTAAACCATTACTACCACCAGGTGTAGATTCAGATTTCGTCACTGATTTAGATGAACAGTACCCTGAAGGTTAATGAATCCCTGTTCCGCAGATGTGTCAGAAAAAGATGGAGATGGAGATGTAGGGTCCCCCTCCCCCCATTTTATTCGCCTTTTTGTTACCCCACCATCAGTTTGTGGCTTTTTGTTGTTTATGTACGCTGTTGTTGCTGTAGTTGACCTGTAGGTGGAAAAAGAGCCGAAAAAGAAGAGAGGAGAAGAGAGACCGAAAAAACAGCACCATGGTGTAATGGAGTTGTCAATGTGAAATAAACCAAAATAACTTGCATTAGCACACGATTCAGGCCCTTCCTTTATTTAAGTGTCCAACAGACAGTTTGGACACCGGCCCCGCTCCAGCAATCTGAAGAAGGCAGAGAGGACCCCAGACCCGGTCCACCAGCGCCCCCCCCCCCGGAGCACCGAGACCAGGGAGACCCCCATGGAGACAACCGGGCCCCCTGAGTCGGCCACAGAGAGAGCCCCCCAACCGAGCCCCCCCCCAGGAGCCACGAGCGACAAAACTGGAGGACTCCACCAGGACTCTGTATCCAGCAGCAGGGGAACATGAAACAGTCTTTATGTGAGAACATCAGATGAGGTTTACTCTGTTCCTACAGGACAAATCATGTGATTATAGCAGCTGAAAACCTATTGAAGAGATTATTAAACTAATTAACTGAACAACAGGAACAGAACCAGGTTCCTCTAATGATTTAATCTTTGTTTAAAGTGTCTGTTCATGGAGATGTGTGAGGATTACCATCCTGATCTTTAACATGTTAAACAGAACATCTGGGGGTCAAAAACTGTTTCCAGACTCACATCCAAATGTTTCTGCAGCCAAACAGCAGCTGGAGAAAAAAACAGCTGGTTGTTATGTTGGGATTTCTGTCCTCTGAGAAACAGGGAAATGTTCATTTTTGTTTCTTTATCAATGAAATGCTTAGCTGGTAAAATACAGACTAAAAACTGTTGGTTTGTTCTTAACTTTCCTCAAAGCTTTGCATGAATTTGATCCTGAAAGTGTCTGAAAGCAGCTGGTGTGTAGAGAAAAAATCAGAGACAAAATAAAAAGTCAAAAATGTATTTTCAACATAGACATTGAAACATGTTGAAGGTTCAGGCCCACAAACAGGAAGCAGAAATAACCACAAAAGTAAATGTTAATAATCTGGGGAAGTGAAAAAAACTGCTCAAGGATGGAAAAGAGTCTGACAGCTCGACAGAAGAGGAACCAGGACAGAAACTGCACAGGAGGCTATTTTATCCAACTGTCACTCCTCTGTTACGCATGCTTACAATGTTTGGAATGAGTCCAGACCAGTTTTTCTTAACACCCAGAATGTCATACTGAGACTCCCTGTGTTTGAAGATCTGCTGGTGGAGGTTTTCACTGCTTTGTGCTGGTTCTGTGTTTCGGTCTGAGGCCCAAATGCAGCTGGAGGATTTCTGTCCTCTGAGAAACAGGGAAATGTGTATTTTGGTAAAATACAGACTAAAAACTGTTGGTTTGTTCTTAACTTTCTTCAAAGTCTCCAACACTTGTTTACTGACCGAGTGGAGACAGAGGAGCTGCAATAAACAGGATCATCTGTGTTGTAGTCCTACTGACTGAGAGGAAAAACCTGGGCCTGCAAGCAGAAGAGGTGTGCGTCCCGCATATTAGACTTAGACTTAGAAAACTTTACTATAAACGAAACTTTAACCTGTCAAACCCACTTTATCCAAAAGTATGACATGACAGTCACACTCATCTGTCCCTGGTTCCTCTTTCACTGTGTCATAAACCACAGAGCAGCGTCCCTGTAGCTCTATCAGTTCATGTTTTCTGTCTGAGGAGGATCATAAAACATTTCATCTGTCTCACCAGAGTGAGTCTGCTGTGAGGAGGAAGGAGAAACCTGAAGGTAAGGAGCTGCTGTCGGTAGAAAAAACTGTTTTACTGGAACAGGTTTTGGATCAGAACAGGAACCAGAAGGACCACCAGCAGGGAAACCTGAGCTCATTCTCACACCTTTGAGGGTAGAAAATATCAAAGATGAATATGTCCTCTTTCAGCCAATGTAACTTTCAAAGCCTTCAACCTTTCAGATTTTGAGCTATGAGCCTCAGAGTCAGAGCTCTATCACCAAGATTACATTGAAAATCCATTAAACTGACAACTCGTTCAGCTCTGAAAAGTCTCCTATTTTTAAATCGCTCCCGTTGGGCCATTTCTGGCTCAATCTAAAAAATAAAAACACCGTCACGATCCTGAATCTCTCCAGGCGCTCACGGTGTTCTCAGATTTGACGTGGCTCTTAT